AATGCCCCCCTCCCCATGTCTTCTTTTCTCCAGACAGAGAATTGATCTTCATATGACATGGACTCAGGGCCTTTCCCCCTCCTAGGTGCCTTCCTCTGGACATTCTCCAACTTATCAATGTCCTCCTTAAACTATGGTTCCCAGAACTGAGCACTATGCTCCAGACAAGGTCAGGCCAGAGCAAAAGCTGCCACATCCCATTGCTCACTCATATTGAGCTTGTAGTCCACTGAAACCCCCAGATCTTTTCCCAAAACAATTGCAGTCTGACTATTCTTCTTCCATCTCACACCAGTGAAATTGATTTTTTTGGTACCAAAGTACAAAGTCATATTTATCCCCATTGAATTTCATCTTATTAGATTCAACCCAATGCTCTTTCTAGCCCATCTGCCAGTGTGTTTATATCTTTACCTTTATCTTATCTTTATGTCATCTGAAAATTTCATGAGCATGTCATCTATGTCTCTATCCAAGTCACTGATAAGAATGTTAAAAAGCATAGGGCCAAGCAGAGATCCCTGGGGCACTCCAATAGAGACCTTCTGCCATGTTGACATTGAACCATGAACAGCTACTCTTTAAATCCAACCATCCAACCCATCTGATTTTATTATTGTCCAGTCCATATCTCTCCATCTTCTCCGTAAGACTAGTCTGAGATACTTTATCCAAAGTTATAAATTTTATTCACAGCATTCCTGACATCTACCAGATTAATAATCATTTCAAAAGAGACAATGATACTAATCTGGCATCAATGTCAGCTATCATCATCATCATCATCATTATTACACACATGTATGCACATAGGTAGTATAGTGCAATAGAAAGAATGCCAAACTTTCTCACTGAACTTAGTCATGGAACCTGAATTCAAATACTACCTCTAGCATTTACATATATGTTACTGTAACTTACATATATATACATATATATGAACTTAAACCTCGGTTTCCTCCTCTGTAAAATAAGGGGGCCTATTTGGCCTATCTGGCTTCTGAGATACTCTCTAACTCTAGATCTACGATCCTATGTGTGACCTTGAACAAGCTACTTGCCCTCTCTGGGCCTCAGTTTCCACCTCTATAAAATGACAGAGTTTAACTAGATAGCCCATAATGTAATCTATGAGCTTAGCAACATGTATATACGTGCACATATGTGCACAACTGTATATATACATATATATATACATATGCACAATACACATACATACACGCACATACAAACATACACATACCCCCAAACCAAGGGAAGCCCACACTACAAGACAGTGTTAAGCTGGAAGTCAGGATGCCTTCTTCATCAAAGGCCTTTTGCCAAAGTGAAATGGTTTAGCTCAGTCTTGAAATATGAATCCCCTTTTACTTCCATGAAGAAGATTCCCACATGAAGCGAGGGAGCCCTCCCCCACTTGCAGTCTGCAAATGTACTTCTTTATATGACAGATGGAGCATGAGAGGGGGGAGGGGAAGGACACACACATTTCCATACCAAAAAAAAAAAAAACACCAAATGTGAAACTGGAAAAACAGATGCTTGCCCATCCCAGAGGGTCTGTGTGTCTCTCTTGAGAGGACCACTGGGGTAATTTGCTTGCAAATTTCTGAAAGTAAGAAAACGTCCAGAATAGAACATGAACAACAACAAAGACTGGTCTTGTCAGTAGGAATATTGGAATTGAAAGCTGGAAGGGCCCTCAGAGATGAAGTCCCACCCCTTCATTTTTACAAACAAGACAACTGAGGCACATAGAGGGGGAGGGCTTGCCCAAGCACATACAGAGGATCCTAGATCTAGAGCTGAAAGGAAGCTCAGACACCATCTAGTCTAGCTCCCTCATTTTACAAAATAGGAAACCAAGGCCCAGAGGGCAAGGGTCACACAGGCAGTAAACTGCTGAGCCAAGATGCAAACCTTGGCCCTCTGGCTCCAAATCCAGTGCTTGTAAGTAGCCAACTAAAGTTATTGTCAAGCTACTAAAGTTGGAGAAATCGAAGATTTCTCTGATTTGCAAAGTGCTTTACGTTCATGGTCTTATTTGAGTCTTACAACACCCCTGCCAATGGGCTATCAAAATTATCAAAGATACACATACCCCCAAACCCAGTTGCGTCCACTGAATGGGCAATGTGACCTCTAAAGTCCATTTCCCCCACATGCCATCACCTCTCCTAACATCATGCCACTGTGTCGACTTCAGTAACTGAGCTGTGACATTTTTCCTTCAAAACATATTTGTGGAGAAAATGACATTTCCTTCAGACAATGGATTTCTATCTAAATCTTCCATAATTTCCCCCTGTCATATTTATCGACTGTTCTGAACACATACCAGTCATCACAGCTTGGTGCCTGCCTTCTTCTTCAGCAACTGATCCCGAGAATTCTTCTGATTCCCCTTCGCCACATTTGCTATGAGTGACCGAGGTGATAGTTGAGTTCAGTCCACATTCAGACATGACTTTGGTGGGGGAAAAAATCGACGTTCTGGACTTTTCATTACAAACTTACTGTCAACAAAAATGAAAAAAATTCAAAGAACATATAAAATAGAATTAAAAACAACCCAAGTAACAATAATAACAATAGCATAAATATAGCACTTTAAGGTTTGCAAAGTACTTTACAAATATCTCATTTTATTTTGTGAGATAGGTGCTATTATTATTCCCATTTTACAGATGAGGAAACTGAGACAAACTGAAGTTAAGTGACTTGCACAGGGTCTTATAGCTAGTTAAGTGTCTGAGGTCATATTTGAGCTCAGATCTTCTTGACCCCAGGTCCAGCACTCTAGCCACTCAGCATGTGAAGAAAATGCTGATAACATCATCATCATTATCATCATAACTCACTTTTTTGTAGCACTTTAAGCTTTGCAAAGTACCTTACATAATTTATCTCATCTGATCCTCACAAAAACCCTGTGAGGTAGGTACTATTATAATCCCCATTTTACTGATGATGAAACTGAGGCTTCAGAAATGTTAAGTTACTTGCCCAAGGTCACAACAGCTAGCTAATAAGTAAGGCCACACTAACTAGTAAGCTAGTAGGGCAGGATTTGAACCCAGGACTTCCTGATTCCAAGGCCAATGCTCTATCCATTCTGCTGCTTGTACTATCTGCCTCATAGATGTGAGAAAAATATTCTGTAAACTTTAAAGTACTATGGAAACAGGAACTATTATGACCACACTGATTTTGGTCTGACTTACTAATTTCCCTCCAGGCTCGGCCTGATTTCTGGGGGTCCCTGTACTCAAAGAGAACTTGTTCCTTTTCTTGGCAAAGCTAGAAGAGTGCTAGGCTTGACTGGTGATTAAATCTTCAATAGGACAAATGTACCTTTCTGACCCACCATTAAATATGTCACAACAACTTAATAAATTGTGTCTGCAAGTGATATTTCTTGCAAGCTGCCAAATAAACATATCCCAAATTATACCATTTTATATAATAGAAGCATGAGAAATAAGCAAAACATTTTTAAACTTTTCACTCACTCACTCACTCTTCTGATATATCTAAATAGTAAAAGAAAAAAAAAATGGACTAGGATTAAAATTCATTTAGAAGCAGGCCCAGTCAGACCTGTGGGTTTCTAACTTTGCCATGACAGTGAAATCCGTACCTGTCTTTCAAGGCCCAGCTCAAATGTCTGCTTTTCCAGAGAGTCTTACTTGAGCACTCTCATCCACCATTATCTCATCTTCTCATCCTCCACTGTACTTTATGACCTCGATCACTCATTTGTCTCTTAATACAATGTATAGCCAATTGGCAGAGGTCTCAAATAAGATCGTGGATGTAAAGCGCTTTGCAAAATTTAAGGCATTATATAAATGCCAGTTGGGCCTGCTAGGTGGTGCTGCAGCAGATAGAGCACCCAGCCTGGAGTCAGGAAGATTCATCTTCCTGAGTTCAAATCTGGCCTCAGACACTTACTAGATGTGTGACCCTGGGCAAGTCACGTCACTCTGTCTGCCTCAGTTTCTCCATCTATAAAGCAGCACCTATCTCCCAGGGTTGTTGTGAGGATCAAATGAGATGATACTTGTAAAGTGCTTTGCAAAAACCTTGAAGTGTTATATAAATGCCAGCTGTTATTATAGAATGCTAGACCTACAGTCAGGAAGACCTGAGTTCAAATCCTGTCTCAGATACTTCCTAGCTGTGTGACCCTGGGAAAGTCACTTAACCTTTCTCAGTCTCAGTTTCCTCATCTGTAAAACAGGAATAATAATAGCACCACTAAGGATTGTTTTAAGGATCAAAAGTCAGAGTTGTAAATATTTTTGTAAACCTTAATGCTCTATATGAATGCTAGCTATTATTCCACTTTCTAAAAATAATTTCTCTAGAATTTGTCTCTTTCCTCTTAAAAGTATCAAAGAATTCAGGTTATTTTAGGATTCCGTTTCATTGATTTAGTCATTCATAGGATTCTAGATCTTGAGCTGGAAGGGACCTCGGAGTCAACTAGTCCAACCCCCCATTTTGCTGATGAGGCCCAAAGAGGTAAGTAACTTGTCCAAGGCTCAACAAACATGAATCGTTTGCTGTGAGTAAAATCCTACACTGAGTGTCAGAACAGAGGTTCTCTCAAATGTAGTTAAGACATGGGGGTGTTTACAGTCTAGTAGGGAGATGTGACATGGGCTCAAAGCACTATAATATAGGATATTATATGTACGTTATATTGCATGTGCATAAGAGAGCTGAAAATCATGTGCTATGGGTTTTTTTTTTAATTCGGTTCAACATTGTGTGCAGAATGTACTAATCACTAAAGGAGATCTAGCTTAGAGTGCAGCACTGTGCTTGATAGAGTAAGCACTTATTTCTTCGTAAGACCTGGTCATAGAGCTTCTGAACATTCCAGCATTTTGATGTACTAGATGTGGTTTAACATTATTTGGTTTCCCTTCTCTCTGCAAGCCTGAGAACACCTTCCTAGGCTAACCAATCTTTATTATTTCTCTTTTCTGCAGGTAGTAATCCTGGGGAAACATTCCAGAGGTTATCACTACATGCTTGCTAATCTGGTAAGGACTCCAGTTAAAAATGTACTTTGGTAATTGTGCCTGCCAACTCAGGCCACATGAGTAGTAATCAGCCAAGGGGGGAACCTCATCAGGCACCCCACATGTCCTTGATCTTGAAAAATGACTTCACTAAATACCAGGAGCTGCATGTAATAGCCATTTGTCCTCAATTACGCTGTTTTTGTTTCAGCTGGGAAGCTCATGGGCTCAAGTAATTTGAAAAATAATAATTTGATAATTTATTTCTATTAGTTTACAGCTTCTTAAATGCAACTTTGATCAGCCTAATCGGATTTTAAATGTTAAGCCCCTACCAAAGTAATTCCATTATGCCACCTAGATTGATGCAGAGACATAGCTTAGTGTCCCAAGATAAAAAGGGCCATGTGTTCATGTAGTTAGGCATGGAGGATTACTCAGAATTGGTATAACAGCACCATTGCCCACTCCGACACTAGCTGTGTGACCTTGGCAAGTCACTTTATCAGGCTGGGCCTCACTTTCTTCCTTCATGACATGAGGAGGTTAGACTGGCTGGCCTGAGGCCCCTTCCAGTTCTAGATCTCTGAGCCTATGTGTGACCTTAGACAAGTCACTTCCTCTTCCTGGGCCTCACTTTCTCCCTCTGTAAAATGAGGGCAGTGGTCCCAATGGCCTCTGAGGTCCCTGCAAGCCCTAGATGCAGGAACCTATGTGTGTCCTTGGACAAGATCCTTCCCTTCCCTGGCCTTGCAGAGTTTCTTACCGAGTTTCTCCCTCTATAAAATGAGGGTTTTAGACTATATGACCTCTGAGTTAGGACCCTATAACTTTTAGGAACACAAAGCATTTCTCTACCAGGAATTCCTGATAGTCTTGCTTAAGGGTTGGGAAAGACTGGGGCATCTGTGGAGGAAATGGAGATCTGTCCCCTTTCCAAGTTAGGCTGACTCTGGGGGGAGGGCGGGGGAAGACAAGGGGTGGAGCAGCTTCAGTTAATTCAGGTTATGGAAAATGGAAGAGCTTGATCCCCCTTCCTACCTCCCAAAATAATGATCTTTCTTTCCAAGGGCTCATTAGGTCCAGACCCAAGCCCATAATTGCCTTTTGAAGTTCTAATAATAAAAGCTCACGTTTCTCTGTCACAGCAAAGTTTACAAAGCATTCCCTCGCCCAACAACCCTGTGAGGTAGGAAAAATCCATCCAGCTTTCCTGCCTCCAGCAGTTCCTGGCTGGGTGACCCTGAGCAGATCACTTAAGTTCTCTAGTTGCAGTTTTTTTCATCTACAAAATGAGGGTGTTGGCCCCAAGGCCTCTGAGGGCCCTGCCAGCTCTAGATCCAGGCCTATCACACTTTCAGATGCTTTAAGCCACTTGCTGCCATGCAAATGACTGAACCTGAAAAAAAAAAAACCTTTCAGGCTGCTGGGCCCAAAATTCTTAATAGTAACATCTATGTGGAAGGAAGATGGTCTTTAAATGACCACTTAGCTGGTATTGTCTAGCACAAGTATTCTATGTAACAGACTTTTAACTCCTAGAGAGCCCTCTACCCCAAGATGAGAAATGGTAAAGTAGTTGTTCAGAGGGAGGAATTGGTTTCATGATCTCTAAAGACTAGAGGCATCGTGGTACGGTAGAAAGATCACTAACTATGTAGTCAGAGGGCTTGGGTTCAAATCCTCACTCTGATGCTTACTACGTGTGTAACCTCAGACAAGTTACTTAAACTCACCCAGCCTCAGTTTCTTTCTCTGTCAAATAAGAGAGTTAGACTAGATGACCCCTGAGGTCCCTTTCAATTCTTTTTTTTCATCTTTTATTTTTTTCCAATTACATGTAAAAACAATTTTTAACATTTCTTTTTTTTAAATTTTTAGTTCCAAATTCTCTTCCTCTCTCCCTCCCCTTCCCACTCTCTGAGATGGTAAGAGATTATATATAGGTAATACAAGCACAATAATGTAAAATATATTTCCATATTAGTCATGTTGTAAAAGAAAACACAGGCCAAAAAAAAAAAACAAGAAAAATACAGAAAGTGAAAAATAGTATGATGGCATGTTTCATCATGGGTCCTTCAGAATTGTCTGAGATCTTTGTATCGCTAAGAATAGCTAAGTCATTCACAGTTAATTATCTTACTCTATTGCTGTTATGATGTACAGTGTTCTGATTCTGCTCATTTCACTTTGCATCAATTCATGTAAGTCTTCCCAGGTTTTTCTGAAGTCATCCTGCTCATCATTTCTTATAACACAGTATTACTCCACTATAATCATATACCACAAATTGTTCAGTCATTCCCAATTTGATGGGCATCCCCTCAATTTCCGATTCTTTGCCACCACTAAAAGAGCTGCTATAAATATTTTTGTACATGTGAGTCCTTTTCCTTTTTTTCCTTTGATCTCCTTGGGATACAGACCTAGAAGTGGTATTGCTGGATCAAAGGGTATGCACAGTTTGATAGCCCTTCGGGCATAGTTCCAAATTGCTCTCCAGAATGGTTGAATCAGTTAACAATTCTACCTCCCTTCCAGTTCTTGATGTAAGATCCTATGATTCCAAAGACCTGAGTTCAAAACCTGTCTCTGGCACAGACCTCTAGCAAGTTACCTCACCCCTCTGGGCCCCTCAGTTGCCTCATTTGTCAAGCGAAGTGATCACATGAGCTGACCTCTAAGGGCCTTCCAGGGTATAATCCTCTGATGCTTGCCTCCTCTCCATCTCCAGCCCAAGAATGGGGGTGCAGCTAGCTACTGCCTTCGGTTTGGCACTACTCGGGGGAAGCTGTCCTCTCAACACAAAGGGTTATTACGACACCACATTATGAGGCTTCCTCCTTCCTGCCTACTTAGCAGAAGAATTAAGAACATAATACCTCCCTGCCTGATAAATCAGTGAGAAACATCCCTCTGTACCGACGGAGTACTGTCGCCTTAGTTTTCCTCCTACTCAGATAAATTAGGATGCAATTTGTATTTTTCCCCCTCTTCTCTGCTCTTTTATCTCTCTGACTCCCTTGTGCATATTGTCTGGCACACCAAGGCAATGATGCTGAATGCCATCATTCAAAGGATTCATTTAATCAGACAACAAATTCCAAATTTGGGCTTTCAGGGCAGCAGGTGGGGAACCCATCAGTTTCCACCCAAGGGGAAACCAAAACCCTATGTCAGGTTTTTGGCAATAGGCCCAAATTGGACACTGGAGCCTTTCCTCAGGTTATTTATCTGGTGGGCTATTTCCTGTTCCTCTCCTCCCTACTAACTCAAGTACATTTGAGATAAATAGGGAGAAAGGCCAGATCTTCCCCGTCATCAAAAGAGGGAATACCCCTGCCCTAACCAATGTCATTTCCTAATAAGTTGTTAATAGCCAGATCCCCCTTGATGCCACAAACCACCCCTGTGAAGCCATTTGACTAGTGATAACCCATTTATGCCATCGGTTGTATAGAACTACTTACCCTTAGTAATGTTGTTTTACCCGACAGTCTGTTTCTGTAGAGGTAAGAAACATTCAGAGGTGAGATGTCTGTACTTACATCAATATTTCAGGGATTTTCCCTCTATAGCAAGGGTTCTTAATCTGGGGTCCACAGCCTATGAATAGATTTCAGAGAGTCTGTATACTTGGATGGGAAATAAATTACATCCTCATTTACACTAATTACCAGCTGAAATTTAACATTGCCTTCAATCATGAATGTAGGTAATAAACATTATTCTGATAAGTGGTCCATAGACTTCCCCAGATAGACGCAACAAAGTCTAGGATACATCAAAGGTTCAGGACCCCTGGACTAGAGCAATCCAGATCATAGCCCTGTGGGAACTTAGATGTCTTCATGATGTTTCTATGGCTGAAAAGCTCATCACCCTGTGACCAATCTTCTGGTGACCAGCCTCTTAGCCTTCTGTTTAGACTGCTTTTTGGATGATAGAGACATATCCACTGCCAGGCCCAGGCTTAAAACCTGTCCAGCTTAGCAGGATCTGCCAAATTTGCACTTCTTTTGATACAGCCTTGAAGAATGCAAAGTCAGTCTCATGCCTCAATGAGCCATTGGAGTAGGCCAATAAGGAAATATGCTATGATCTCACCAATTTGGCTGTTCCCTCCAATGTCTCAGATTGCAACTCATCTACACCATCTTACCCTATGTAACTCTTTCCCATGTCCTCCCATCAGTCCTCCACAAAGGATCTACTCAACAGACTTGGGGCTTCCCTGTATATCACTTGACATTTCATGGAAACTAGGAAAGCACACACAGTCCTCGTTAGTCACTCCTTGCTCTAGCTACGTGACCAGCTTGCCTCTTTTCCTAACCATATTCCTCTGATGATAATCTACTGGCAATATACTACAGGCAGCTAGGTGGTGCAGTAGCTAGAGCACTGGTCTGAGAATCAGGAAGACTCATCTTTCTGAGTTCACATCTGGCCTCAGACACTAGCTGTACAACCCTGGGCAAGTCATTTAACTCTTTGCCTCAGTTCTTCATCTGTAAAATTAACTGGAGAAGGAAATGGCAAATATCTTTGCCAATAAAACCCTGAATAGGGTCATAAAGAATCAGATGCAACTGAAAAACAATTGAACAACAAAAAATATACTACAGCCTCATCATACCCACCATGCACCTCTCCACTGCCCATTGAGTGCCCCACAACTTGAATTCCTCAGAGACTAAAATATTCCCTGACTTGCAGCCATACAGCTTTATCAGAAGAATGCTTTAAAACAGACCTTTGTTTCAGGGAGAACCTTGGAGTTGTTAAAACTGTGCTGCACAATTTCCCGAAGGAAATCTAACCTGCTCTCCTGCTCTTGTTCAGCTCTGGGCCCATCTCATAATCTATCTATACGATCTGTCCAAGTTATATGTGGACTAGTCCTATTGGATACCCTATCATAGTCTGAATAACAGGCATTCCTCATCCACTTGGTTTTTCCTCTGTGGCTAGTTAAACTAAATTCTTTTGCCTGATTTGCTGCATTCAGCTTAAGGTCATCCACAAACAGGAGTGCCTTAAGAGAGTAAGAAGACTTTGTTCTACCAAACAAGCAGGGTAGGATTTTGTATTCTCTAAACTTTCATTCAATTGTATGGCTATAAAGATATGGTATGTGTGGGGTAGCTAGGTGGCGCAGTAGATAGAGCACCAGCCCTGAAGTCAGGAGGACCTGAGTTCAAATCCGGCCTCAGACCAAACACTTGACACTTACTAGCTGTGTGACCCTGGGCAAGTCACTTAACCCCAACTGCCTTTTAAAAAAAAAAAGATATGGTATGTGGTTAGAATATCATTTGAAAATGCCTACTTCAATTTCATATGTATAATGGACATCATATTGCTTACCTTCTCAGTGAGTGGGGGAGAGGCTGGAGGGAGAGAGAGAATTTGGAACTCAAAAATGTTTTTAAATGCTAAAAATAAAATTTTACAAATAATAAATAAATAAGTTTCCTCTATAAATAAGTGGCTAAAGGATATAACAGGGTTTTTTTTTTTCTAGGCGAGGCAATTGGGGTTAAGTGACTTGCCCAGGGTCACACAGCTAGTAAGTGTCAAGTGTCTGGTCTGAGGCTAGATTTGAACTGAGGTCCTCCTGACTCCAGAGTCTGTGCTCTATCCACTGTGCCACCTAGCTGCCCCAGGATGTAACTGTTTTTAAAAGAAGAAATGCAAACGAGTAACAGCAATATGAAAAAAAATGCTTCAAATCAATAATAAAATAAATGAAAAATTTTTAAAAAGAAAATGCCTGCATTTTCCCTTCTCAGACCTTTACTAAGGGTGCCTACGTTGCACAAGTAGATTATTCTTACAAAGATTTTGTAGAGATGGGAAAGTGAACATATATGTCAAAGTTACTGATATTTTCTCATTCCTCCTGCCTTTTTTTTTTTTAGTAAAAATAAGATCTATATTTTTCCAGTTTTTTCATTTCCTTCTCTCTTTCACTTATCTTGAGAATGAATTCCTCAACACCCACAAAATTGGGTCACATCTAGCACAAACCTCCTCTGTATAGGTTTGGTCTAGTCCTGCCACTATTTTGTCATTTTAATTAGCGTCATTTCTACTTTCTCAAATAACACAGTAGGTACAATAATGTTAAAGACCAAATGTGGTAGCTCGACTATCCTTGATGAAGAAAAGAATTTGCTATAGAAATTTTGACAGATCTTTTCCATTTTTCATCTGCTCATTGTCTTCCTTACAGTTTTATCCTTTAAGGCCTTAAGATGACTTGACTTAGTCAAGTCTCTTATCAAGCTTTCTGCAAATTTACATTGCTTCCATTATTCCATTGCTTTTTAATGTCTTATGAGGTTATACTGTTCTTAATATTCTACCATCCTCCTCCATAAGTTTTTTACAGATGATTATATTCTAAATTGAGTTTGCCCATGGCTGTTATCTCTCCTCATTAAGATCAAGTGTTCGATGACTGAGGTAGTTTCTAGTCTCCCCTGGCCTACTTATTATGGCAACTGCTTAAATTTAAAGATTGCTTAAACATCCTTGGGAAATGGCGGCAGTCTGTGTCAGTGTCTGTCCTTTTTTCCATTTCCTATTTTCACCATCAACACCTTGTTTAAATAGGTCATAATGGAGTTACCTCAATTGCACACTATATCGATTTTTTAGTTTTTTTCTCCCTTCTACTTTGGTGTTTGATTTTGATCTTTGCTCTAATAAGTCAGTGGTCTGACTGTATACAGATGGCTGATTCAGAAATAACTCCCACATTAGTAACCAATAATTTTCTGTCAGTTAAAATATAATCAAATTTAGTTTTTGTAATGTTATTTGTTGCTTGCCAGATCCAGTGTCTCCTGACTCTTCTTAAAGAAAGTGCAGTGTTTAAAAGACCTATGTAGTTGACAAGCCTTTAGTTGCTCTTATTTCTTACTCCTAAACTATGTTTTCCTACATATTTTTCACCATTCTCCCCATGCCCGCCTTTCCACTAAATTCACCAAGTTTTAAAGTATATGTTGAGTTAATTTGGAAGGTTTTAGCAAGTTCCCTGTAGAATCTCTACACCTCCTCATTCTCTGTAATAAATGTTAGCACAAAAGCTAAAATTGTTTTCATGGAAGACATGCAAATGCTTTCCATGAGCACCATAATATGAAATGACCAAATGTCCCACAGTATTACCTTTGGACACACAATAAAATCAACTCCACCAATTCTTTTATTTGCCTCTGCAAAGAGAACCTGTGAGCCAGACTTCCTGTGGAATGGCTACTCACTGGTTATTGGACAAGGATGTGTGATTCTTAATACTCCATATCTTCTGTTCTCCTACTCTACCCCATAATTGCAGAAGCAGAAGGGGACCATATAGGGATGAGGCCATTTTGCATTTTAAGTTATTTTATGTGTTACCATACCCAAAGCATTCAATATCATGTGTTCAGCCTACTGAGGGTGATCTCCTCTGTTTCTAGCTAGGCTGGTCCTCAGAAAGCAAAGGTGATGTCGAGCTGTCCACGGCTAAAACTTGGGCAGGAGGTCAAAGGAGATACAGCCAGTACCAAATACCGGGACCCAAACAATGGCAGCATGAAGGCCCTAGAAGGTGCAGGGATCAGGCACCAGACCCTTAGGGTACATGGAGATGGATGGCACGTTGGCTAAAATGGGATGAAGAGGGCTACAGGCAATAGATCACGCCCCCTCCCTTTGTAGTAATTTGCTTGGGGACCCAAAATTGATGTTTGTACACCATTTGCAACAAAGTTTTATCTATTTGGGGGTTTTGTTGCTTTAATCAGTTTGTGATTCAATAAAAAGTATGACAGTGATTCATCATGAAGGACCCATCATTAGAAACAAAACAATCAAACAATCACTTCTCATAATTGGCATGTCAAAGGTGGATTCAACTGATTTCTATAGTCTGGAGTCCGTGCTTTTCCACCATTTTCTAAGGACAAAAGAGAACATGGTACAGCAGAAAAAGTACTTCAGATGGAACCCAAAGATCTAAGCTTAAGTCCCAGATCTGCCCCTTACTAGCTGTGAAACCTTGGGCAAGTCATTTCTCCTAGAGCCTCAGTTCCCTCATCTGGATAATGGGAGTGATGATACTTGTAGTACCTTTCTTCCAGGGTTGATATGAGAATTAAATGAAAAGAACTATAAGAAAGTGGTAGTTTCATTTGCCTTCATTTGCATTTGCATCTTCCTTAAAGTTGGCATCTAAACTTGCACCCACATTCAGTACCAGACACACCCTATGCCTGAAGTAGCAGGAGGCGTATCCTTGAGTCCCACCTTCAGCTTCAAAGGCAAAGCTTACACCTGGGCTTTTCCAGGCAGATGTCTGCTCCTGCCAGAGTCAGCGTCATTCTGTGCCCTGCCACCATTTTGATCCCCTTTCTCCATCTGTCTGCAGGGCTTCACAGACATTGTGCTGGAGAGAGTCATGCATGGGGGTGCCAACATTACAGGATTCCAGATCGTGAACAATGAGAATCCCATGGTTCAGCAGTTCGTCCAGCGCTGGGTGAGACTGGATGAAAGAGAATTTCCAGAAGCCAAGAATTCTCCCTTGAAGGTAAACCTCTATGTCTAATATAAACTTAAGCTAGCCTACCAAGGCTGCCCTCCATAATGATTCCTTCCCATTAACTGCCCAGACCAAGTGACCACAGATGTTGGGGGATCCCAACTTGAATCCCTAAATCTTAACCAAATAACTATGTGCCTTTTCTCCTTTATAATATCATCCAGCATTAGGAATAAGTTGACTAACCTTTTTTTAAATGAATTTAATTTGTAATCTGCTCATAACAATTTAGAATATTCATTACAAGAAGGGGGGAGAATAGGTAGGGAAGATTGATGAACTGAAACAGCAAATTAGATTTTCCATTATTTATGTGATCGCTTTGTGTGCTAATAAGTCCCATGAATCTCTGAGAAGCCAGATGAATTTAGGGCTGATGCAGAGTAGGTTGGCTCACTATGCATGGGGGCAGCCAAAATGTTTTCCTGTCTGCAAAAATCTCTTTTAAATAACAGCATTACTTAGATTGCTTGTTTTACTGGAATAAAGATAGAAATGTTGAAAACAAAAAGTGCAACTTTCAAAGCTTCCACAAATGTGCGTGCTTTAGACAGATAGGTCTATCTCTATGTAAAAAAGCATGATAAATAAATATCTGGTTACATATAGATCAAGTCAGGGATAAGTAGTCATATTACAAAAGGACTCCAAATCTGGACTTCCTTTAAAGAATCTAATGGGTAGCACCTGAATTCAAATCCGGCCTCAGACCAAACACTTGACACTTACTAGCTGTGTGACCCTGGGCAAGTCACTTAACCCCAATTGCCTAAAAAAAATTTAAAAATTTAAAAAAAAAGAATCTAATGGGTGGAAAAGAGGATTACATTTTGACAGTCAATTTACATGCAACTTTTCCAGAACCTGAAAATATGGAAGAATGAGCCAGGTCGAGGAGCAGCTAGGTGGCACGGTGGATAGAGCACCAGCCCTGAAATCAGGAGCACCTGAGTTCAAATCCAGCCTCAGACCAAACACTTTGACACTTACTAGCTGTGTGACCCTGGGCAAGTCACTTAACCCCAAATGCCTTAAAAAAAAAAAGAATGGGCCAGGTTTTCATTCCCCTACCCACTATCCCTAATCAAGAGAAGGGTTTACAAGCTCTCATCACAGTATAGGTGTGCCTAGCCTTCCATAATCAGAATGTTCCAGAAAAGTTTCAAGTAAATCCAATTTTTTAAAGCAAATCCTATTTTAAGACCAGCAAGGCAGCCTACAAGTTAACAGAACCCTTTGTAAAACCAAATTAATTACCTTTTGTAAGCAGAATCAACACCCCCTCCCTACCCAATTTATCTTTCAAGCAAATCCAGATTTTCATATACCAAGGATTGTGGCAAAAAAAAAAACCCAAAACCTCACATTTTGTTGCAATTTAGAATACAAGTCAGTAAAAGGCTTACTTCCATACATTGTTATAAGCACAGGTAGGGAGAAGCATCACTTGGCTATGGAAAAGAACATCTGTGGGACAAGTGGACTTCTAAGCACAAGCCATTTCCCATAGGTACTTACAGTATATGAGGGAGAGGAGAAGAGAGGAGAGGAAGAGAGAGATCATTTATATTTGAAATGGAGGCATATTCTAAAATAGTACTACTTGCGTTAAAAAAAAAAGGAGGGGGAATATGGAAATGCAGTAATTTTCTCTCTCTGTCTCCTTCTCTTTTTCTCCGCCTGCCACCCTTCTCTCTGTCTCTGTCTCTATCTATCTACCTCTCTCTCTTCCCCTCTTTCTTCCTCCCCTCTCCCTTTCTCTCCCTTTCTTTCCCTCTGGCCTTCCTTCCTGCTTCTACCACACAAGTTTGCTTAAAGCAGTGTATACCCTGATCCTATACTATCACAAGTATACTACCCCTAGTTGAGTGTCCTCCTAAACACCTATTCACTGCTTTGCCACTTTGGATGTATGTGGGAAGAGGACAAAATGAAGGAACAAGAAAAGGAAGGGAGGGGGCAGCTAGGTGGCCCTGGATTGAGGAAGAACTGAGTTCAAATCTGGCCTCAGACACTTGACACTCACTAGCTGTGTGACCCTGGGCAAGTCACTTAACCCTATTGCCTAGCCAAAAAAAAAAAAAAAGAAAGAAAGAAAAGAAAAAGAAAAGAAAAGGAAGGGATCATTCCAGAGTTGGGGTATAGATGTAAGAGCTCCAAGAGAAAAAACCACCAGCACAGCGCAAGGAAGCCATTGTGAAGCTACTCAGCCTTCACCTTGCTCAGAACCAGGTGATCTGGGGTCCAGCCTTGGCTCCTCCACACTTGGCTCCTCCACTTTGGGCAAGTCTCTCCCCCCTCTTAACCTCAGCTTCCCTGCCTTCCTCTGGGTGCCAGCAGGTCCCAGGTATGGTGCGGATAAATGCAGTTTTCATATCCCTCCAGTAGGAGCCGCTCGAGCTGCTAAGCAGGGTTAGTAAGGAAAACTCCATCAAGTACCTTGGGAAATTAGAACAGCCAAGCACAGGGACAGCTCCCAGCATGAGTTTGCTCTGTATTCAACTTGCTCACTATTTATCAATCAGACAAAAAGCACACTTTAAAAATTGATGTGCCATATTTTTTATTCAGGAAAAAAAATTGCCTTGAAATGACAGTCCTGATGCTTAATTTATGCCACATTTTATCAAGGTTTCCTTTTCAGTCTTTTTTATCTTACACATTCATGCATTGGGAAATAGGAGTTTTAGAAGTCACAGTGGAAGGAGAGAAGAATTTAAAGTCACAGAAGGGTGGTGCAAATTCCAAAGCAAAGACAATCCCTGCCCTCAAGGAGCTGAAACTCTAATTGGGGAGATAACCCATATAAGGAAGTGGTGGCCAGGGAGGAGTGTTGCAGTAACTGGAAGTAGTGATCAGATTTATACAACAGTTGGCTGATATGTCCTTTCCCAGAAGTGATAGCATCTATATGATTACTGTTCCCAGGGCTAGAGGCAGAAGGAAAGCAGGGGCAAAGGGAGAGAGAGAGAGACAGAAGGCCCACTCATGGTACCAGGGCAAGTAGAATGGTAGGCCTATGTACAAGGCTACATATGGTAAGGCTTACCAACCACAAGCCCTGGATCCCAGGTGGAAGCTTGAATTTGGAGTCAGAGATGGAGACTGGAGTTATTAGAGTGTGGAGGGGCTTGGGTCCAGGCTAAATGTGGTGAATGCTCACCTATCAGAAGGCCAGGCTATCTAGTCAGAGAGAAGGTATTTGGAAAACTTTCCAGTTTGTCAGGCACTTTATAAATATATATATGTATGTATATGTTATCTCATTTGACCCTCACAAAAGCCCTGTGAGATAGGTGCTATGGGTATTATTATACCTATTTTACAGATGAGGAAACTGAGCTATTTTATATATTCTACCAGGCTGCTTCCCCATCTTTAGAGTTAGAAGGCATCTTAGAAATCATCTAGTCTGAATTCTTCATTTTCGAGAGGAGGAAACTGAGGCCCAGTAAAAGGAAGTAACTGGTCACACATACACAGCTGTAAATGACTGCTAACTCTATATATCCAGCCCTAACCCTTCTCCTGAGCTCCAGTCCTTCATCAACAACTGTCTGCTTTGCCTGGATATCCATGTCCAGGTATAAAACATCTAGAACAGAACTTGTTATCTTCCCATAAAAACTACCCCTCAGTAAGCTTCCCCCATGCTTTGGGGGGAATATAGTACCATATTCTCAGCTACCCAGTTTTGTAACCTCACTCATCCGTGACTCTTCCCTCTCTGTCCCCCCCATGCCCCCACTCCTAATCAGTTGCCAAATCTTGTCTATTCTATTTCCACATGCCTTGTCCCCTGCTCTCCACTCATACCACAATAGTCCTAGTCCAAGCCCTCATACCCTCTCAACCACCGGTTTCTCCCCTCTCCAATTCCTCCTCCACATAGCTGCCAAAATAATTTTCCTAAAGCAAATATCTTTAATGGCCCCCTATTACTTCTAGGAAAAAATACACATTCCTTAGATTGGCACATAAATCCCTTCACAATCTGACTCCTACTTAGCTTCCTGGACATTTTCAATTACTTTTCTTGACTCATTCTACATTTCCAACCAAACTGACTGACTAGCTGTTGTCCAAATTCCATATTCCGTCTCCTGGCTCAGTGCCTTTGCCCAGGCTCACCCCCATGCCTGGAATACTCTGCATCCTCACTTTTGCTTCTCAGAACCTCTAGCTTCCTTCAAAGATCATACACAAGGCTTTTCTTAATCCCCCTAGTTCCTACCATTAAAGGCTTTGTGATTGCGTATTGGATGTTAGAGTGACGATTCTTTTTTGGGTGTTTTCAACTAGATGGCTTTTCCAATCCTGAAATTCTGTGATTCCATGTTACTCACTACTTCTGTGTCCATGGCCAAGTTATTTACCTTCCCCAGCCTCAGTTTCTTCATTTGCCAAATAATGATAATAATAATAATTATTATTATTATTATTATAATACATACTACCTTCCTCCCAGGATGGTGCAGACCATGCTTTGTGATCAAGAAATATAAACTATTATTATCATAAAAACCCACATCTCATTTTACTGAGAAGGAAACTGAGGCCCAGAGAAAAGACTCTTGACCAAAATCACACAGCAAGCTAATGACAAAGCTGGGGCATTGGATGTGCAGGGAACAGACCTGAGGACTGTCCGTCAGTCAGTAAACATTTATTAAATGCTTACTATGTGCCAGGTCTCATGCTGGTACTAAGTCCATTGACAAATCAACACCAGCTGGTTTTTCTATGTCGTTGTCAATTTGATTTGTTCACAAATGCCACCCCAAATCTGAAGCTGCCATTTGGCCACCAGTACCATTCCTGGGGCTGCAGAGCAGGCAGGATGCAGTCTTCCTGCATCTAGCAGCATCCCTAAAATGGGTGACATTCTCAGATGGAAAACCCAATAACCACTGGAATTTGCTTCAATAAAAAACCAACTTTGCCTTTTCTTCCCCCCCTTCACAGTCAGTGAAGACTGATTGATTACTGGCTCTAGGTCCTAGTTTGCCAGAAACAAGGCCCAGGCAGGAATGATTAATGTTTCTTCCAAATGAATTCCAGCCTGTCTTGCTTGGCCATTTCCAGTTTTCCCCTAAGTAAACAACAGAGCTGGATTTTCTCTCACAAACACCAGCCCAGCTAGAGAAAACTTTAGAGAAGCTCTCTAACCCATAGCTAACCTTCCCCTCACCTCACAAGCCTTCCTTATTAAATTCATTCAGTCTTTAGAGATGAGAGGGCCCTTAGAACACACAATGTCAGAGCTGGGGCAGGGGAACCAAAGACTGTAGACTATTAGGGAACTCAAAACAAAGAATGTCAGAGGCTGGGAGGGATTTGAGAATACAAAACGTCAGGGCTGGGGGGGCCTGAGACCAGAGAATGTCAGAGCTGGGGGGGGACCCAAAAAACATAGACAATTAGGGTTGGGGGGGGGGGACTCAGAACAAAGAATGTTGGAGCTGGCTGGGGCGGGGAGCCTTAGTCTAGAGAATGTCAGAACGGGGGGGAAGGGGAGCCAAAGAACATAGACAATTAGGGTTCGAGGAGACTCAGAGCAAAGAACATCAGAACTGGGCGAATTTGCGAATACCAACATGTCAGAGCTGGAAGAGACCTTACAAGGTCCCCCTCACTTTCCAAATGAAGAAGCAGAGACTCAGTGAGGGAAGGTGACTTTGCCCCGAGTCATAGAGTCATACAGTTACTAACTTGCAGCCCAAGCCCAGGTCCCCGACTTCAAATTCAGAGCTTGGCCATAGGCCCAACAGCGTTTGCCAAGCTCATTTAGACATGAACTACTTTGAAGCTTAAACCGTATTGACAGAAACCATCAATGATGTCCCACAGGGCTTCAGTCAGATGGAATAGCCTTCAATGAAAGGAAGCGGAAAGGGAATTAGGGGGCAGAAAAGAAGAAATTAAAGTTCTTCATATAGTAACAACTATTTTTGTTCATTCAGTAACTTCAAAATATCAGTGATTTCCTCAGCATGAGTATTCCTTCCATTAATACAGATTGGGGCCTCACTCCATCAGAGTTAATGTTTTCATGGGATGTTTATCTCTGGGAGGTCAGCCTTCTGAGGGTGAATTGCCCCCCACACACACACAACTCCTGTACTCAGCTGAGCTGCCACAAAGCCCATCACTGGGCCCAAATACTGATCCATTTCAGCCTATAGAATCAGAGGCCCCTGACATTGCCTTTGAGGGTCTGGGTCCCCTCCTCACCCTGATGAGGTATCAGAAGAAGGCATTAGGTAAAGCAAGGTTTGGGGACACTTACGTATTAAATATTTTCCAGGGAAAAATATCCCAGAGCCCCATGCCACTTTATCAGAGGAAGAGTGTAGAGCACCCACCCTCCCAGCCAGTTATTGAGCTCAGCACCGTACAGTGGATGGGGTCAAAGACCGTGCTAGGGAGGAGCTCGCATCCTTTGTATGTTTGCATGAGTGAGATAGGATTCAAGGATGGCTCACATGCAGAGCTGTCCCGAGGCAGGGACACGGCTAGATCCTTTTTATTGCGGTCGTCAATAAGGGTGACTCCCTGATGAGAGAAGGCGAGGGCAAAGGGTTATGAATGGATTGTGTGAACTATGGGATTGTATGGGGAGAGAGCACTGGGTTCTAATCATGTAGGCCTAATACAGCCTAGTTGTTTAACTTTCAGGCCTTGCCCAGGCCTCAGTTTCCTCTCTTATAAACTGAGATTAGACTAGATGATCTTTAAGCACCTTTCCACCTATAATGGCAGTGTATCACAATGTTATGCTTCCTTTCAGTACACATCTGCCTTGACACATGATGCCATACTGGTCATAGCGGAAGCTTTCCGCTACCTGCGCAGGCAGCGAGTGGACGTCTCCAGGAGAGGCAGTGCTGGAGACTGCCTGGCCAACCCTGCAGTGCCATGGAGCCAAGGAATCGATATTGAGAGAGCTCTAAAAATGGTAATGACCAAGATGGGGATGGGAGGAGGGCAGGGCACTGTGGTGGGATGGAAGGCAGGATGAACAGTGAGATGGAAGGTGAAATGGACTTCTTTCTGAGTATGGACAAAGCAATAAGACTTCTCCATTGTTGAAATACAAAAGCAGAAATGGTATAAGGTAGATATGGGAGGAATAAGTGGTGTGGAGAGGGTAAACATAGTTCAGTTCACCAAATTCTGAAAATCTGGAACTAGGAGTGGGGGCTCCATAAATTTAGGACAGATATGCAGTAATTCAGTTCAATTCAATAAACATTTCTTAGGTATCTACTTTGCACAGAGCATTGTCTCTAGTTTTGTGAGAGAGAGAAAATAGATCTGCCTTCATGAAGCTTACATTCTAATAAGGGCAATAAGACATCAGAACAAACCACTATAATACATAATATTACACAGGTTCATTACAGATGTACAGAGTGCCACTGGAAATCCTGGGCAAGTAGGGCATCATTACCAACCAGGGGAATCAGGGAAAGCTCCTTGAAAGAGGTGGCTTTTGAGCTTGTCTTTGAAAGCTGAATAGTAATTCAAGAAATGAAGAGAGGAAGAAAGAGCATTGTAGCCATAGGGCAGAGCGCAAGCAAAGGCAGGAGAGACAGTGGAAGAATTTGGGCTGAACTCCTAGCAGACTGAGACTTAGCAAGTGGAGATCTGACTTCATAGAGTAGGCACAAAATGTAAGGAGCTAGTTATTCCTTGGAAAGAGCACAAGATATAGAGTTATGAGCCCTTATTCTAGTCCTGGCTCCATTTATATGGCCTTATGCACGGCCCTTCCCTTCCCTGGGCCTCAGTTTCTCCATCTGTAACAGAGGGAGCTGGACAACATGGCTTCTAAGGTCCCTACCAGCTCTCAGTGTGAGCTAAATAAATCACTTTCCAGGAGGTTTTTAATCAACCCATAGCTACTAAGTTAGAATAGCTACTTAGGGCACCTATCCTTTCAATATTCTTTCCTGTCTTTCAATGAAGGAAGTACAGGAATGTGATCAATTCCCAGGTCTCACCAGGAGGCTAGAAATCCAAGGAATCAATGAGTGAATGCATGTAAAAAGTTTACTTTTGTACTGGGAGGAGACTAAATCTTAGCTACACTCCCTTATTATAACCTCCAGCAGAGGCTATTATTGACTTAGGGCAGTGTTCCCAGTTGGCCCCGGCTTCCTGGGCAAAAGGTCTTCCCTTCTGTCCACAAGTTCCTCCCTGCTTCCTTCCCTCCCTGCCTCCCTGCAAGAAGCCAGACTCTCTTTTCTTGCCACTGTTAACATGTCCTGATTCTTCAGTGTCCAAAGAAGCATGGGCAAAGGTAAGCGATGCTAGGAAATACTGAGCCCGCCCAAGCTGGCAATGAAGTAATAGCAAACCCCCCATCCCCGACTGTGTTCTTCATTTGCTGCCTCCCGTTTGCCAAGTTGGAAACATTCAATCCAAAGGGGTTAGCAGTTCCTGGGTCTTTCCAAGAGAGAGAAATGGTTTGTCCTCCCCTCATGCCAATTCTCATGTCATTATGGCAGTTCCTCACCAAATGACCTCAGTGCTGATTTAGGGACATGGCACCACATGGTTCTGAAGAGCAGTTAATTAAATTCAACCTTCACAGCAGTTATAGGATTTGTGTTGTCAGGTAAAACAGAACAACGTGTGAAATAAAAAAATGCCCCCAGAGTGAATCAGATCAGAGGAAACCTATGAGATCCAAACCCCTCACTGTACAGAGGAAGAAACTGAGGCCCAATGATGACAAGAGATTAGCCCAGGGGCGCCAAGGCACCAGAGCAAAGAATCTAACATGTGTCCTCTTGATTCTAAATCCAATGTTCTGTCCACAGCAAGGAAAGAAGTTTCCATAGATAGGGATGCAAGGGACAGGCATGAATATCTCTACCATCCCATTCTTCCAAAGGGACCAGGATTTTAAAATCATCACTTGCAAGAACAATGCAGATCAATATTGCTATTGCAAAGCAAAATCTTTATATTTCAGGAACCCTAAGCCAAAAGTTCCTGGAGCTCATAAGCTTCCTACAGCCCTAACCTTCTAACACTCAGACCCACAAGCAACTAAGCATGTTCTCTTGGCCTGTTTATCTAGAATCAAAACTCTGCCCGCTGCCCTAAAGAGGGCAACACAGATCAATTTCCCCCAGAAGAAGAAACCCCATTGCAATGGATGGATGATAAAGTGTCATTAATTCTTTGACTATCTGAAGAGAATGCACATTTAAGAAGTATAACTCTAAATATGAATGGATTAAGTTTCTCAATAAAAAGAGAAGAAATAGAGGAGTGGATAAGAAAACCAAACCCAACAATTTGTTTCACACAAAAATTACATTTAAAATATATAAATTGAGTAAAAATGAGTGGACAAAAAAATCTATTATGTTTCAGGTTACCAAAAATAGCAGGATTTGCAATCATGATCTCAGATAAGGCAACAATAAATAAAAATTGATAAAGTCAAGAGAAACAGGCAAGAAGACTGCATTGTGTTTAAAGGCACCGGGCCTAGACAATGAAAAATCACAACACAAAATGTATATACACCAAATGGACCAGCAACTGAGTTCTTAAAAGACAAGCTAGGAAATTGCAAAAAAAGATATTGATAGTAACACAATGATAGTAATAGACTTTAATATTCTTGTCTCAGAGCTGAATTAACCAACAGAAAGATAAACAAGAAGGAAGATATAGAACTAAATGAATTTTGGGATAAGCTAGACATGATTGACATATGCCAATGCCTGAGTAGGAGTTTTTAAAACTATGTATATTTCCCAGCATCCTGTGGTATTTTGATAAAAATTGATCATAAAGGAAATGTAAATAAACAAATGTAAAAGGCAGATATGGTGAATATCCTTTACAGACAATGCATCAAAAATAATAATATAGTAAATATGAGCAAAAGATACAGGCCTAAATGAATACCAAGTAATACCATCCTGCCTAATGAATGTATCCAAGAACAGATCAGAGAAACAATAAACAATTATTTTAAATAAAATGATAATGAAACATCATGCCAAAACTTAAGGGATGCAGTTAAAACAGTGTCAGAAGAAAATTTCTATCTCTGAAAACACAGTAACAAAATAGAGAAAGAGAATATCAATGAACTAAGCCCGTGATTTGAGACTAAAAAAATACACAAATTAGTGGTCCTGAAGCAAGTACAAAAGAAGAAAACTTGAAAATTAGAGGAGAAATAGAAAAACCTGAAAATAAAAAAACTATACAACTAATTCATTAGTAGACTAGACTAGATTAGTAAAATGACTTATGAAATAATAAACTTTTAAAATTGTATTCTATTACTTTCAAGTATATGGTAACTCAAATCAGACTAACAAAAATATTTACTTAATAGAGGTCTCTAGGAAATCTACTTTAATGAATAGATTAAAGTGGTTTATAATTATCATATCATTTTGTGGTTCAGTACACAGAGTGTTGGGCTTGGAGTCAGGAAAACCTGAGTTCAAATCTGGCTTTAGACACTAGCTGTACGACTCTGGCAAGTCACTTAGCCTCTATTTGCCTCAGTTTCTTCATCTGTAAAATGAGGATTATAATAGCATTTATCTCACAGGGTTGTTGTGAGGATCAAGTGATTATAAAAGTGCTTAGCACAGCGCCTGGTGCGTAGAAAGCGTGATATAAATGTCAGCTGTTATCATGATCATGATGACATTCACTCATTCACTAAACAGATATTTCTTAAGTATCTGCTATTAGAAAAGTATTGTGATTAGTGCTAACGATACAAAGATGAAAAAATGAAACAGGTCCTGTCCTCAAGAAGCTTGCATCCTACTGGAGAGGCTGCATGTATGCAAATAAGTATTACGACAGGTAGAATGTGATGGTGACAATAGAATCTTAGACTCTCTGAATTGATGGAGATTTCAGAGTTTATCTAACCCTACCTCTTCTTGAAGCATGAATCTGTCTGGAGGATTCCAGTGACACCATCTCCCAAGGCCTCCCATTCCGCTTGGGGATAGCTCTAAGCGTTAAGAACTTCACTGTATAGAGCTGAAATCGACCTCCCTGTGATTCCCACCCAAGCTCTGTTTCCTTTAGATTCAATACAAGTCGACAAACATTAAGTATCTCCTATGTGTAAGACACTGTGCTTGACCAGACAGCAGATGCATCTGAAGTGCTTGAAAGCCATGTATTCTCTTAAGTAAGCAAAGCCTTCCCCTCGTGTAATCTTGTTTGGACTCTTCAGTGGCTTAGCTAACCCTGTTATTTTTAACAGCTAGTGTTAAAATTCAACTCAACGTGGCTGAATTAGCACAAACTCCAAATTGGCGTGGTCCATGCTAATAAGGTTTTGTTGTCGTGTGAGGGAAATATGACATTCCAGACACTAGACTGTGTCCTAAAACAGAGACAAACTTATTTCTGAGAAATAGCTGAATCATTTTCTCTAATGTTTCCCCCTTCATACCCAAGTATGCACACACTCATGCACATACTCAATATGTACACACACACACACACACACACACACACACACACGTGCTTCCTCTTCCCCCTACATTCCCAGAACACCTTCAGATAGCATTTCACTGAGCCTACCAGATACATTCAATTGATCACACTTACGTCATTCCAGACCCACCCTTCCCACAAAAGATTTGGATCTTTCCCCTACTGCCAGAACCTCTGGTGTCCTTATTCACCTTCCCCTCCAGTGACTCTGCACTGCCTACTTCCTTCCTGTCTAAGTAAAGGAACAAAAGCCAATAGCCACGACATAATGGAGCTGGAGGTGTTTAGCCTGGAGAACAGAAGGCTTAGAGGGGGCATGAGACCTATCTTCAAGTATACGAAGGGTTGTCATGTGGAGGAATGACTCACCTTGTTCTGTGTGACCCCAGAGGGAAGAAATGGGGGCAATGTGTGGGAGCTGCATTTGAGGCAAATTTAGGCTTGATATCCAGAAAAACTTCCTACCAATGAGGTCTGTCCCAAAGAAGGAGGGTCTGCCCAGGAACCACTGATTTCCCTCTCACTTGAGGTCTTCAGGCAAAGGCTACATGAGTACTTTTCCAGGATGTTGCAGCGAGGATTGTTTTCCACATATGAGTCGGATGAGAGGGCTACTTCAACTCAAAAATTCTATGAGTTTGTTTCTCCTCTGATGAGGCATATCAAGGAACCCCGAAATAGTCATTCCACACCATGCCCTAGGTATTCATCCACTGGTGAACAAACCCTTCTTTCCCTTACCAAAATGTTCCCTAATGTGTGACATCCATCTTCTTGACTGCAGCAGAAGTCCATTACTTCTTCTGACTTGCCTGACAGCTTGTCACTTTTGATAAGTGATAAAAAAATATTTCATCCTTCCATACTAGGGAAATGAGACAGATTCTTTTTTCTTTGAAACTAAGTACTCAGCTCCTACACACCAAATGAGTAATGTGAGTAGGTAATGATAATGGCTTAGCTTTATGGAGCACCTTTCATCCAAAACACACCAGTGCACCTTGAGAAATGTGAAAAGAAATTGCTCTACCTGTCTCAATCAGAATCACTTAGAGCACAGAGTGGCAGGTTAACCCCTTTATTTTTATGGGTTGGGAAACTGAGACACAGATCAGGGAAGAAACTTGCTTGTGGTCACATAGTGGCAGTGCTAGAACTAGAACCCAGGTCTCCCAGCTCCAAGGTTACTAATCTTTCCACTGCACTGTGCTCCTAGCTAACTCACGGCACTAAGAATAATCATAGGAACAATGGGGAAGTCTTTTGTCTCAGCTCTTCAAGGCCCTCCTCTCTCTAAAGAGAAAATGGCTGGTAAGGAGTTAATTCATCAGAAAAATTAATCCCCACCAAAGGAAATGTGTTATTCCTCCCAAATAACAGAGTTCCAAAGAATCACCCAATCTCAGAGTGGGAAGGAACCTCAGAGGCCCACTTGTCTAACTCAGACCTGAACAAGAATCCTCTCTGCCAGTTATTATCCAACTCAAAGACATCACTAGCCCCTGAGGTAGCCCATTCCCTTTTAGGACAGCTCCATTTTCTGGAATGTTCCCCCTCTCATCAAGCCAAAATCTCCCTCTCAGAAACTTAGACCCACTGCTCATAATTCTGTCCTCTGGGGCCAAGAAGAATAACTGGAATCCCTCTTCCCTGTTTTAGTCTTTCAAATGCCTTAAAGCAGTTGTCACATCCTCCCCCCATCTTCCCTTTTCTAAGTGAAACATCCCCAGTTCCTTTGCTGAATTCTCAAGTGACTGTCTCCAGTCCTCTCACTGTCCTGGTCATCCTCCTCTGGGTGTATTCCTGCTTTTCCATTTCCTCCCTAAAATGCAGTCTGACCAGGGCAGAGGACAGTGACACTATCTGTCACCTTTCTCATTTGGGACGTCCTACCTTTCTTAATGGAGTTTAAGTTCACATCAATGTTTTGGCCTGCCATTTCACACTGTTGTCTCTTATTGAGTTTGCAGTCCACTAAGACCTCTGGTCCTTGCTCACCTTAACTGTTGTCTAGCTATGTCTCTCCAAACTTTGTGTGGCTGGATTTTTTTTAGTCCACATGTAGGACTTTATATCTAGCTTATCATTCTAGATTCTTAAGATCTTTCAAGAGACTGAATCCTGACTCAGTCATCCAATTGATTAGCTATGTCTCCCAACTCCAAGTAATCTGCAAATCTGATAAGCATGCCATTTATGCTATCATCCAAGTCATTTATAAAAAAAATAGTGGATAGGACAAGACACGCTACCCTAAAATGACAATAGTCTATTAATGACAGCCATTTGACACTATCGTTCTACATACAGCCCATACCTCTCCCTCTTTTCCACAAGAATAGCAAGAGAGAAGTGATCAAATGATTAACTAAACCCAAGGTAAGCTATATTTAATGCCTTTCCTTATTCCACAAATTTAGTAATCTGGTCAAAAACAGAAATATTGTTAGTCCAGCATTCCCTGATCTTGATGAAGCCATGCTTTCTGGCTCTATCTGATTATTGCTTCCTTTTCTAGATAAGCACTAAGCATCCCTTTAATAATACACTCAAATTTGAAGTCAGGCTCACTGCCCTGTAGCTTAGAGGCTCCTCTATCTTCTCTTTCTCTGCAAATCAGGACATTGGCCCTTCTGTAGTCCTCAGCACCTCTCCTATTTGGCATGGATTCAAAGATCAACAGTCACAACTGCATGTTCTTTCAGTACCCTAGAATGTAATTCGTGGGGACCTGGTAACTCACTGTAGGCAACTAGTTCTTCTTTTATCATCTCCTCACTCATATTTGGCCCTAGACTAATTTAAATTACATTTCTTGGAAGGATCTTACACAGAGATTCATAGTGTGAATTTCAGGCATGGGTCTAGGGAAGGTCATTGTCTAATTATATAATGTAAGTGGCCACCTACTCTGTCGACCTATGAGATCACAGAAAAGTGTATAACACTTCTCAGTGCAAAGACATGACACCTAGAAAATCCCAAGAAGTAGACCATGTGGAATTATTCAAACAGGTAGCACAGTGGATAGAGTGCTAGGCTTGGAATCAGGAAGACTCATTTTCTTCAATTCAAATCTGACCTCAGACATTTACTGCTGTGTGACCCTGGACAAGTCACTTCAGCCTGTTTGCCTCAGTTTCCTCATCTGTAAAATGAGCTGGAGAAGGAAATGGCAAACCACTCCAATGTCTTTGCCAAGAAAAACATAAATGGCATCACTAAGAGTCAGACACGACTGAACAACATATTATTCAAAATGAAATTTCTCCAAGTAAACCAGAATTAATCAAACCCCTAGTGACCTACTCATACCACTATATAAAAAGGCAATAATGCTGCACTATTTAAATGTTCTCTCTATCTCTCTCTTCTTTATCTCTTCTCTTCTCCCTCCCCCTCTGTTCCTCTCTTTATCTCTCTACCCCTCCCCCCACTCAGGTCCAAGTACAAGGAATGACTGGAAACATCCAATTTGATACTTATGGACGCCGTACAAATTATACAATTGATGTGTACGAAATGAAAGTCACTGGCTCTCGGAAAGTAAGTGGACAAACTATATACTCACCAAGGAAAACGGGCCGCATGTTAACTCAGATGCACAAAGACAAACATAATAGAACACCATGGGGAGAAAGACTATTTGTTGGGCTATTTCTATTATCAAAGTGTGTATTTCCACATATTTTAAGAGGAAATTATTTTCCCCTTAAGGTCATCCCTACCCAAGCACAGCAAAGCAATAGGTTTGAGATGGCACAAGCTACTATGAGACAACTGAAAGACAGATGTTTCGTCAATATTGTGAAATATGCCTTGGGATCTTTTTATCCTTACCAAATCCCCAGTGGGAATTGGGGCCCCTGAGAACCTCAGAGCCAAGGAAAGCACCTCCTTCGTGGAGGTGAATTCTGTGACTACTAATAGACATAGAATGTCAGAGCAGGATGGGCCAATTGAACATGGACTACAGAATATCAAAGCCAGGAGAACATAAAACCTGGAATGCCAAAGCCAAGAGAACAGAGAAGGCCAGAGCTGGGCAGGGCCTATGAAACTACTTCCACTAGATACCTCTTTTGACAGGTGATTTGTCTCAGCCACAGCCCCTTAACTCTCACCACATTTCTTAACTAAGCAGGGCGTGGACATTAAGCATCCTCTTGTAAACACATCAGCAGGGCTATTAAGCAGTAGGTACCATGCCTTGTGTCATTTCTGCAGGAAGCCCACTGCTTGCTTCCCTGGGCCTCCTCACAGTTCCTTTATGAGAGTGTTACAGGAAGAGTAGAAAAAAAAGGAAAAGCTTTCTTCACACTTTAGCAAGATAAATCTTTTCATAAGATATAGGAGGTGTGAGAATCCCCAGAATGAGGAGATACCACACCTTTGTGTGTGTGTGTGTGTGTGTGTGTGTGTGTGTGTGTGTGTGTGTGTGTGTGTTGGGAGGGCAGAGACTAAAGACGTCTATTCTCTGTGTGTGTAAAATTCAATCACCTTTTTTCTGTTTAAATGGCTTTACTGCAGCCATGAAATTCCATCCATCACTTACAGAGTGATAAAGAGATAAGCAAGTAACATGTCTGCTCTTTGCAGGCTGGCTATTGGAATGAATATGAAAGGTTTGTTCCGTTCCTGGATCAGCAAGTCAGCAATGACAGTTCGTCCTCTGAGAATAGGACCATAGTGGTGACTACCATTCTGGTAAGTTATTGAGGGAGGGGCTGGTTTTTTTTTTTGAGTGAAATCAAGTCATTGTTTGAAAACTTTTAGTGGAGTGACTCTAGGTCAAGGAGAAAGCCTGGCTCTAAGCCAGCTCCACAAGCCCCTCACTCCATCTCACTGCAGTCCTGCCACAGTCCAGTGCATAAGAGAGCTCACCAATGTGGCGACTCCCTCTATTGCTACACCCACTCATCTTCCTCATGTCTATATCTTCCCATCAATCCTCCACAGTAGGGCCACTCCCACTGCTGGGGATCCACCTGCAGATATTACATGGCTATCAATGGCGGTTGGCCTATCCCTCAATAAATGATGACGATGATAATTGTTGACATTTCTATGCTACTTGAAGCATTTGTAAAACACTTATTAGCAGTATCTCATGAGTCTCACAACAACTCTGTGAGGGTAGATACTGTGGTATTATTATGTCCATTTTACAGATAAAGAAATTGAGGCTTGGGGCAGCTAGGTGGTGCAGTGGATAGAGCACCAGCCCTGAAGTCAAGAGGACCTGACTTCAAATCTGGCCTCAGACCAAACACTTGACACTTACTAGCTGTGTGACCCTGGGCAAGTCACTTAACCCCAAATGCCTAAAAACAAAAAACAAAAAACAAAAACAAAGAAATTGAGGCTCACAGAGATTAAGGGATTTGCCCATAGTCACACAACTAAAAGGTATTAAAGATTAGAGATAGCGGCAGCTAGGTGGCACAGTGGATAGAGCTCTGGCCTTGGAGTCAGGAGGACCTGAGTTCAAACCCATCCTCAGACACATAACACTCACTAGCTGTGTGACCTTGGGCAAGTCACTTAACCCCATTGCCCCATAAAAAAAAGATATAATTTAAAAAAAAAAAAAAAAGAAGATTAGAGATTAGAACTTGGGTCTTCCTGACTTTATCCACTCAGCCATCTTACCCATCTCCACTGCTGGTCCTATATTTATTTGATGATATCTTTCACACAAACTGGTTTTGTGACCCTGACTAAGTCCCTTGATCTAGTGATACTCTAGAATGCTCTTGAAGACTATAAATTGTAAAGAAGCTGCATTGGTAGAGGAAATTTCCTCACCTGGCAGTTCCCTATATCAATGAAAACACAGCTCCATTCTCTATCTCTACTATCCTTTTCATTGCTTTTATGCCCACTGAGATGATGAGTCTGCACATGGTTTGAGGCTTGTTTTCACTGATTTCATTCTGCCAGTACTGATCAACAACTGTCCAACAATGCCCAAAGCTGTCTGAGGCACTGGAAGGGAGGGGACTTGCCCAGGGTGGCACAGCCAGGATGGGTCAAATGGGGTCCTTGAACCCAAGGCTTCCTGGCTCTGAGGCTCACTCTCTGCTCACTCCACCATGCTGCCTCTTGATATGTTTAAATTGTCAAAATAACGAACAGGAGATCTCGTTTCTTACATCTGCCTAGTCCTACCCGCTCACTCACCCCCACCTATTTGTGACTTTTCCTTAAACTTAGACTTAGATTCTTTTCGAGAAGCAGCATGGTCTTAGGGGAAGGGCCCTGGACGTAAAGCCAGCAAACCTGGGTTCTAAGCCCCACTCTGCTACTTCCTAGGTTAGTCACCTAACCATGCCCCTCCCCATAGTTTCCCCTCTGTTGAATGCCTTGCTTTCCTCCTAGGGTTAAAACAACATGAAAGCGTTAAAAAACAATCACCACTTCCCACTTGTCAAGTATGATTATTCATTCAGTGCCTGCTCTAAAAGGATTCCACAAGGGCTTTTCAAAAATCCATTTGGTCCATTTGGAAGGAGCAGAAGACAAATTGATTTCATACAGCTTGAGGAAGATTACAGAATCCAGGCAAAACTCATTCATTTAGACTCTGCTAATGCCAAATTGGGGGACATTCTTGGGGACAAGGCAGGCAGGACTGGGGCTTGGTTAGAGTTTTTCTTTGGACTTTCTGGAAAGAAATCCTAAACCATTAGTAAACTGTTCATTTCCAAGCTAACCAGAAGTCACCCAATCATCCTTGTCTATTTCTTAAAAGGAGGTTTAAGGACTTTTACTTGCAAGTACTTTTTTTTGACTATATCTAGTAACTGGGAGTATTCAGATTCATTAGAATTTTATTTTCTTCCAAATAATCGTCTAATCCAGACTTTCTGCCAGTTCCAGCTGACTTTCTCCCCAGATAGTGTGGATTAGTGAGTGCCAACTGACTTTCTTCTTCCACCTCGGAAAGTCCATTTTTTTTCTCGGCCCTACAAATCCCTGAGCCATCAAGGGCTATTAGCTTCTGCATGACTGAGGGGTATACATGTGGACAGTTGGTTCAACTCCAGGATTCCACATGTAGAAACCTCCTCTACAGATTTTTAAGCTTTCACAGAGCAGCTGCTGAGTGCCTAGAAGAATGGTCCAGCCCAGTGAATTATAGTTTAAGGGACTTTGGCTTATGGATTCAGTATAATGACAGCCACATGCACACTAAGCCTTCCCAGCTAGAAACTAAGGAGGCCTACACTTCTAGGTTAGGCGCTTCTCTCTCTTAAAATCATTCATTTGAGTTAACTTTTGATCTTCGTTTTAATCCCAAAGGAATCTCCCTATGTAATGTACAAGAAGAACCACGAACAACTAGAAGGCAATGAGCGCTATGAAGGCTACTGCGTTGACTTAGCCTATGAAATAGCCAAGCACGTGAGGATCAAATACAAGCTGTCCATTGTTGGAGATGGGAAATATGGCGCACGGGATCCTGAGACAAAAATATGGAATGGCATGGTTGGGGAGCTTGTCTATGGGGTAAGTTTCCATTCAATTTTCTTCCACCATGCTTCCCATTTCAATCAGTCAATCAAATTCATGTCAGTAGGCATTTGTTAAAGCCTTTTGTGTGCCTTAATAAATATACAAGGCCTCAGGATACAAACAAAACAGTTCCTGCCCTTTTTACTTTTTACTTGGGGAAGAGGGGAAGGGGAAGGAACAAGTGTACATAGATAGGCAAAGGGAAGATACATACAAAGTAGCTAAAAAGTAAGTGGAGGGGTGGATCTAACCACTACGAGGGATGAGAAGTAGACATTTTGGAGGCAGTACTTGAGCTAAGCCTTGAAGGAAGCTAAGGATTCTAAGAGGTAGAGGGGGAAGAAAACCATCCCAGGCATAGGGCATACAGCCTGTGCAAAGGCATGGAGGCCAGAAATGGAATGTCATGCTCAGGGAACAAGAATGCCGGTTCAACTGAAAAATAGCATGCAATACTGGGAGGACCTCAGTTGAAATCCCACTTATATCACTGCCTGTGTGACCTTAGGCAAGTCACTAAATCTCTCTAGGCCTCAGCGGCCTTTTCTGTAAAATAAGTAGGTTGGACTGCATGACTTTTAAGGTCCCTTCTCACTCTACATCTACAGTGTTTATGGTCCTGTGATTTCACCATTCACTCAATCAACAAACATTTATGTGCTGGGGACTGTACTAGGTGCTGGGGATCTACAGACAAAAGTGGAAAACACAGACCCTCAGGAGGTTTCCATTCAATAGATAGGGGTGGAAAACATAGCCAAGACTAGCCCTTAGTGGGTCCTATAAAAAGGCTTCATGACGCACCCACTGGATCTCTCTGGCCAGGAAGGAAGCTTAACTCAAGGCCAGCGCTAATTTCTTGTGCTCCCCAAGTCAATAATAATCTTTGAGAAGTTGAGTGACTTGCCCAATGGTCATACAGCCAGGATATGTCAGAGGTAGGACTTGAACTCAGGTCTTTGACTCCCCCCATGGAAGGGCCAGGCTATGGCAGACTTACTAATTTGCTAGTGGGCTAACAGTCCCTAAGTAATTGAAGCCTTTGGCCATAAAACCTTGGCCTCCTATAGTATAAGACCTCCTACAGAAGGAGGGTTCATAGGATCTGCTCCAGTCCCCTCATTTCACAGAGGAGGAAACTGAAGCCCAGTGAACTTGAGGGACTTGCCCAAGGTCACACAGTAAGTAGCAGAGCCAGGATTGGAACCCAGGTTTCATGGTGCCGAGTTCTGTGGTTTTCCCCCTGCCCCACTCATCCTCAAAGGTCAGTGTTTCCTCCCCTCCTTCCCTCTAAGCTTTGGGACCATCTCTTGGCCAAAGGTAGCAGTGTGGAGATAGAGTGGCTGCTGGGGGAGGGGAAGGCAGTGGGTGACCCAGAGAGACACAGGGAAGAGGGCAAATGATACATATTCACTTGCGGGCCTCTGAGTTGTACTAGGAGAATAAGACAGGTAGGCCCCCCCCCCCGCCCCACCACCAGCATAATTTCCAGACTAGAGAGAGGAAGAAAGAACTTGTGTGGGAGGGAAGGAGTCACCTTGCTGATATGAGCATGACACTCGTGGATTTTGGGGAGGCCTCTGTGTCATGTCCTGTCCTGTCCCACCCCCACAGGGGCAGCCTGCCAACCAAGAGCTGCTTCGTTGTAGTCTGAGGAGGGGATCAGGTAGGCACAACCTAGCACTCTAGATGAGCCTTTGGAGACGTTGAGACAGCCTGAGGGAGAGGCTCTGGAGGACCAGGATTCCTGGCTGTGGCCTGTGTGATTAGTGCTTTGGCAACATTCACTAAGCACCAACTATGTACAGGATGCTGTGCTGGAGAGTAGGGCTCAAAATCTAAAGCACTGCCCGATGCAGAGGCCTGGGCCTGGCCCTCCCAGGACCTTGCTTCCCCATACAGAAATGAGGGGGCTGGGCTCAAAGTATAGTGGAAAGAGTCCTGGCTCTGGAGTCACGAGACCTGGGTTTAAATCCTACCTCTTATATTTCCTACCTGTGTGACTTCAAGCAAATCCCTTCCCCTCCCTGGGCCTCATTTTTCTCATCTGTGAAATGAAGCCACGGGATAAAATAGCCTCTGAGGTCCCTTCCCATCTAAATTCATGATCTTGTGACCCAATGTATGACCTTGGCCAAGTCCCTTCCCTCCCTGGGCCTCAGTTTCCTCCTCTGTAAAATGAAGGGGCTGGACTAGAGGGCCTCTGAGGTCTTTTCCATCTCTAGATCTTTGAGCCTCATAGGACTGAGTCATCTCTAAGATTCTGTCCAGATCTAAATCCTGCAGTCCTCTGAGGTTGTGCCCTGGGGAAGAGTCTGCAAGGAGGCAGGAGGAAGCAGGGGTAAATCTAATGGTGAAGACCCAGATGCTGGCAGGGGGTGAGTGCTAGAGAATTGAAGCAGCTTTGGTACAGCAGAGGTAGCCTGTACAGTGCCCAACAGCAGAAATCCCATTTGGGGGTTGACCAAGAGCCTTGCCTTCAGCTTGGCGGCAGCGTCCGTCCCTGCAGGGGAAGGGACATGCATAGCCACGCCCACCCTTCCTTCTCCCCTCCACTGACCGCTTCATGCCCTGCACTGGGTCAGGGCTCCAGCTCTGACAACTCTCCTCTGAACTTTGAGCACATGATGGAGAATACCAAGGACACCAGTGGCGTAGTGCGGACTCGAAGAAAGCTTTTAAAGAGAGCTCCTGGTCTGTGCTAGTGAAGGAGTGAGAAGGAGTGATTCCAAGGGGATTGAATTTGCCTTCCAAAATGGTTCCTTCTTTTCCAAAGAAATTATAGTCAAGGTTGATATTTGGGGCACTCAGGAGCTATTTTTAAAAAACAAACGTCAATGCCACCCAACGGGCCCCATTATGTAAACTCTTCAGAACGTTATGGCCTTAGAAACGGCCACCTGCTTTCAGCAGCTTGTGTTGGGAGTTGGCTCTTAGGCATCTGCCACCACCACTACATAGGCCCTGTCCTAGCCCTTCTGAACCACCAGTTTCCCTGGCATTCCATGCCATGCATGTCCCCAGGAAAACAACAGGGTTCAAAGACTTCATGCTGGCAGGAACCTCAAAGGTCATATAGTCCCATACCCTTATTTATAAAATAGGGAAACTGAGGCACAGAGAGGTGACATGACTTAGGCTTCCACAAGTGATTCAGTAGCAAAATGGGGACAGGAACCTCTGCCCTCCCCCCTCTCCTGGCAAAATCATTGAGATGCTCACAGTGGCTTTGTAAAGTGGAATATAAGCCCAGTTTCTTTTCTCTTTTTTCTTTGTCTTCCTGGCACCGAGAACCATGCCTTGCACATAGTAGGTACTTGATAAACATTAGCTGAATTAAAACATAAAATGCTATAGACGTATGTTATTATTAGTCAGAATTCCCAGTTAAGTGGCCCTTCTTGACATCCACAGTACAGGAATAACAAGTTTAGAGTGACAACCTTAAGTTCTGAAGAAAGAAGAAAGTATGATCTACTCGATTTTCTTGTTAAATGTGCTTAAGTTATTCCAGTTATTAGCCTATGATACAGATGTGTCACTCAATATCTCCAATTTGACACTTAATAGCTCTTTGTGACTTAATGTTTGCTGACTTGTATACTTGATATCTGTGAGCCTTTAGTTGAGTCCCATCCTCTCTCTGGGCCTCAGTTTCCTTATCTATAAATCTAGGAGCTTATACTAAGTGGCCTCTGAGGGCCCTTCAAACTTTAGAGCTGTGATCCTATGTGTGACCTTGGATATGTCATTCCCCTCACCCAATCTCCATTTCCTAATGTGTAAAATCAGTGTGCTGGGCCTAGTGGCCTCTGAGGGCCCTTCAAATTCTGAAATTTTGTTATCTGGGATGTATGAAGAATGACAGAAATCTTTGATGATCCAGAACCTCCCCCCTCCCAACATCAACTATGACAGATCAGGTCAGTATTCGGGACAAGAAAGCAAAATGCTTAAGTCTTTAGGAAATTGTGCCTTTTGGGAACCTGGAATCAGGGTTGGAATGGCCATAAATGTAGTATGGTGGAAGGAGGAGAAATCCCAGATCCTGTGGTTAAACTTTCTCACCAGGAAGCAACAACTCCCATTTCTTTCTGTTTTCCAATTTTAAGATTCACAATAGAATTTCCTTGTCACACCCCAGTGAGGCAGGTAATATGAGTGAATAAAATAATGAATGAATGAAAAATTCTTTCTTGAGCTCTTATTATGTACAGAGCACTATGCTAAGTGCTGGGGGTGCAGAGAGAGAAAGAAGACAGATTCAGTGCTCAGGGAGCTCCCATTCTAACAGGGGAGACAACCCAGAGAGGAGGGCACAGCCGCAGGGCACCTGGAAAGGCCCACTGGGCCTTAGGGAGCAGCAGCAAGGCTCTTTCTCTGATGGCATTTCCGCCGATAAAACCGTATTCATTTCTGATGTTGAACCATTTGACAGCACCAAGTACATTGATGCAGGAGAGTGTAGCCATGGCTGCTGGGGTGGGGGCTTCAGGACTTGCCAAGGCAATTGGCAGGACACATCTCCACACAGGCTTCTCTGTTTGTGAGGGCTATTTCTACCAACGTAGATCATCACCTGCTCTTCAACTTAAATAACAATAACAGTAATAGTAATAATAATAATAATAATAAGCCAGCATTTATATAGTGCTTTAGGGTTTGCAAAGCACTTTACAAATATTATCTTGTATATCCTCACAACAATCCTGGGAAGTACATGCATTATTATCCCCATTTTACAGATGAACAAACTGAGGTTGAAAGACTTGTCAGGGGTCACATGGCTAGTAAGTGCTTGAGGCCAGATTTGAATTCAGGTCTTCCTGACTCCAGGTCCAGTTCTCTATCCAGGGTACCATTCAGCTACCTTGGGCGTCAAGAGGTTAAATGACTTCCACAATATCCAGTGACTTGGACAGAGCAGTACCTATCAGAGGTGGGACTTGAAGTCAGGTCTTCTCTGAGGCCAGCTCTCTATCTTCAGCTATGTGATTTCACCAATACCAGACCCAGATATGCAATGGTAGCTCATGGCCCACCAGTCACAGACCTCTCAAAGCTGAGTACAAGCTGTGTACTGGCTTATCAGATGAAACAAATTCTTTTCAGAGAGACAATCATACACACCTCCAAGCTTAAACATCTCATGCCAGATTGGAAGTTCCTTATCTCTTTCAAAACACACAACAACATTATAGACTATTTCAGACTCTGGCAATCCACCTACTAAAAAATGACAAACGCTGGCTTGAGTCTCTTCCCCAAGTGCATTTGCACCAAAGCTAATGAAAAAATCAAATTGAATTTGCTCCATTTTGTGAGCTCGCCCCGGTGCCTGTAAGTGACTTGATGGAATACCAGTCAGGTAGTGAAGCCTTGGGCCCTAGCCCGACCTCCAGACCTCTTTCCCCCTCCTCCTGCATACCACTCTTCTGGAATCCTGGCATGGTACCCATCTCTTCTCTGCCCCCCCCCAAACACACGCATACATACGTATATGTACGCACAAGTATGTTGTTGTTCAGTTGTTTCAGTCGTGTCCAACTCTTTGTGTCTCCGTTTTGGTTTTCTTGGCATAGATACTGGAGTGGTTTGCTATTTCCTTCTCTCCTAGCTCATTTTACAGATGAGGAACTGAGGCAGACAGGGTGAAGTGACTTGCCCAGGGTCACACAGCTAGTGAGTGTCTGAGGCTAGATTTGAACTCGGGTCATCCTGACTCCTGGCCTGGCACTCTGTCCACTGCAGTGCCACCCAGCTGCCCTACACACACATGTGCACCCACATGTATGAAGGTTGTTTAGAACAACCTGCTTCCAACAAAGCATAGCCCAAGGCATAGGCTCTAAAGATCTTACCAGGGACTTCTGATAAAGGGTGGGTTCACAAGATGGGCCCAAGGAAGGCATCATGGTATAGTGGAGTCCCACGACCCAGGTTCACATTCTGCTTGTGGGAAGCTGATAGCTGCCTGAAAGCAGAAGCTGTTTGGCTTTTGTCCTATGTCCCCAGGTCCTAGTATAGTGCCTGGCATTTCATAAATGCTTGTTATAAAGGGGAATGAACTATACAATCTGTAATATTCTTCCCCAACCCTAAAATCTTATTCATGCATTGCCTACTATCTGTGTGACCTTGGGCAAGTCTCTTCCCCTCCCTGAGCCTCAGTTTCCCTATCTGTAAAATGAAGGTGATAGTCTAGATGGCCTCTGAGGTCCCTTATAGTTCTAGTCCTGTGATCCCATAACCCTGAGCCCTCTGGCCTATATTGAGGAGAATGAGAGAGGAGGTCAGACAGCAGAGCAGGTTAGGAAGGGGCTGGCATGCCAAACTGAAGGCTCAGGGCTTGATCCATTGGGCTTTAGAGAACCATTTCAGGTTCTTACAAGAGCCCTGCTATTCCCAAGTGTGGCCTGCAATAGTAACTCATAACCAAGTGATAGAACACAGCTGGAGCCAAATTGACCCTTGCCAATATTCAGGTCCAATGATATGAAAAGGGCTCTTTGTCTTGTGGTCTAGACATCCTGCCCCCTTCCCCATTCAGCTTGAATGGAGGCCTTTGAAAGAGAGGAGTTTTTATGGCCAGAGCCCAGAGACTAAACATAAAGCCCTTTAAGGATTATGAAGGATCAAAGCAACCAGAGAGAGGTAGTGTAAGAATCATTATCCCCATTTTTCAGATAAGGAAACTGAGGCTCCAAAAGGGGATGTGATTTGTTCAGGGTCATCCTCTAAGGAGTGGGCTGTTGTACGCAACAAACAATCGCTCACTGAACTAGAAAGAATTGTGGCACAGCACCCCCCCACCCTGGCATGGCCTCAAGATGTTTGAATGAAGCCCTGTGTGATGGCAGGCCTCGCTTTGTCTGAGTCTGTCTAGGCCAGGGCTTCTCCACCTTTCCTATGTCCTGGACCCCTTTGGCAGTCTGGGGAAGACCAAGGACCCCTTCTCAGAATAGTGTTTTTAACTGCAAAAAAGCAAAAAACATGGGACTATTAAAGAACCCAAAGGCTAGTGAAAATAAAGATAGCATTTTTTTCCCCACTGAAGCTCATAGGACTAGGAACTCCCATGAAACTAGGTCCGAAGGGCTACTGGATACAGCAGAGAGAATGACAGGCATCACCTAAGGAAGACATGGGTTTAGATCTTACTTCTGACATTTACCAGCTGTGTGAACCCTGGGAAAGTCCTTTCACGTCCCAGGGCCTCAGTTTCCTCCTCTGTCAAATGAGAAATTGAACTCTCTGGGTCTTTCAACTCTGACATTATGTGATTTTTTTTTTTGCCCCATGCTATCAAAGTGTCCTAATACAGAATGAACTCATTTTCCAATGCTTCATTCTGCCATAGAAATGACCCTGCAGTCTTGGACAGATCTGGGCACTGTTCCAACAGGTCCCAAGCTTTGGGAGGACCTATCAAGAGGGGAAGACTTCCATGTGCTGGTTAACAACAGACTCAAGGACCAGCCTCCCTTAGCACAGAGAGGGTCTTAGCCAAAGGGTTGGCCACTAGGGGATGACTCTGGGGGGTCCAAAGCAATTCATGAAGCCCTCTCTGAAGGCATGGAAGAGTTGTGTTCTCCATCAGTAAAGGCCATATCCACACACTGAGGCCATCGGGGATCCTTGAAGTTCATTCTTTCACATATTCAAATAGGTCACAGATTAAAGCATGCTACCCCAAACATAAGTCCGTATAGTAAAAACTTGACATATAGCCTATGATGCCAGTCCAGATGCCAACATTACAAGGGGCTTGTAGCTGGGCAGGACTTCAGAGGCTCTCTAGTCCAACCACTTCATTTTATAGAGGAGGAAACTAAGACTCAATACTCAGGGTGGGGGGAAGAGGAAAGGGACTTGCCCAAGGTCACACAGACACTGTCAGAAGCAAGATCTGAACTCAGGTTTTCCTGAGTTCCAAGTCTAGCATTTTGCATTTGGTTGTCCATTGTTCTCACTCTGCATTTCCCTTTTTATCATCAAGCTTATAATTGCATTTATAAAATCAATTAACCCTCAAAACCTACCGAACACGGACAATGTTCCCCTGTGCCTGGTACTGGGGAGGGAGCGGGGAAAGGGGGAAGGATGCAAAGACAAAGATTTAGTCCCTGTCTTCAGGGTGCTTATAGTCTGTCATAGGTTACCAAAGTGGGTGATACCGCCCCCTGGGAGGCACTGGAATGATGCAGGGGGTGGTATTTCTTTGAAATGACACAAATTTCAAAAGAACCGTTACAGGGTGAAAGAAAGTAGATTTCCAGGGGGGCACTGAGTAATTTTTTTTAAAAGGGGGAAGTAGGCCAAAAAAGTTTGGGAACCTCTGTAAGAGCCAAGGTGCAAACCCATGAGCCAGTCAACAATGGTTCAGGGATTAAGCACCAGACTCAGAGAGCTCTCTGAATTGCTCTATTAATAATTGCCAAAAGGTAGAACCATAGAACGTCTGAGCTGGAAGGGCCTTTTGAGATCTTCCAATCCAACTTCTGCATTTTACAGAGAAGGAATCTGAGATGGAAAATAGCCTATGGAAGGGCACACACCTAGTAAATGTGGGAATTCCAAGCCAAGCCTCCTAAATGATGTGAAGTCATTGTCTCTTTCCACTATACGGAGCTGCCTCTTTTGAATGGCAAGTGACAAATGGAAATGTTGTCTCTAAGTCATTTGTTTTCTTGATTTTTCAGAGAGCAGATATAGCTGTTGCCCCCCTCACTATAACACTGGTCCGTGAAGAAGTGATAGACTTTTCCAAGCCTTTCATGAGTCTGGGCATATCGATCATGATTAAGAAGCCTCAGAAATCCAAGCCGGGAGTGTTCTCTTTCCTGGACCCCTTGGCCTATGAGATCTGGATGTGCATCGTCTTTGCCTACATTGGAGTCAGTGTCGTTCTTTTCCTGGTCAGCAGATTCAGTCCTTATGAATGGCACTTGGAAGATAATAATGAAGAACCTCGGGACCCCCAGAGCCCTCCTGATCCACCCAATGAATTTGGAATCTTTAATAGCCTCTGGTTTTCCCTGGGTGCCTTTATGCAGCAAGGATGCGATATTTCTCCAAGGTTTGTTTCCACATTGTTCTCATCCCCTTCTTGCATTTCGCAGTCATACACAAGGGCCATGGTGAACATATGTTATGCTCACAAGCATCTTGACTGCAAATTTCTTTCATTTACCACTCCATCCTAGGCAAAGTATCATCAGACCATTTAGCTTGCTAGCATCCTCCAAGCAAGTTGTGTGAATGCTATAATATCTATATTTACATATGTTACAGCTTATATACAAACTCTGGCTAAAGTCAATATTGACCAGCTAGTCTTATGTTTATCAGAGAAGTCTAAGTAATGTAGTCTGAAGTCAAACAATGAGGGTTTCCTATTGAGCCAGGCTGAGGGAGGCATCAGTGGGGCAAGCCCTAGACAAACATGAAAGTGGGGGGAGCTTGTCTTTGGTACCCACTCATTTCTCCTTATGTATCCTCTCTGTCTCCGGTACTCTGTGCCCTGTGGGTGCTCAGAGCTGCCCTCTACTGTGGTGCCCCATGTTATCCTCCCTTGATAATTCCCCAAACAGACCTTTCCTTCTATCCTTTCCCCCATAAACACTCACCTGACTGTCCTTCCATTCCTCTGCAGTAACCATCTAGTTGATAACCAAACTAGTGTCACTAAGGTATTTTAAACAATTAAAGACTCAATAAGTTAGCCTCCCAGAATACTTGTTCTAGAGATAATTCCTTAACCTAAGGAAATTCCCCTCAACACCAAACATTACGAAGTGCCCCCAACTCATGCTAGTAGAATATCAGGCAACTCAATGGTCCAGGGAGGAAAGTATTTAGTACTCATAAAGTATAGCATGTAACTGAGCATTCATTACACTTCTACATAAGCTAAATTTTCATTCTCATTCTCACATTTGCAGCGTTAACTATTATTAAGATGAGACTCGAATCTCATTTAGCAATAAAGATATCATGGGAGCAGAGGGAGCTCAAAATCAATCATCATCCACGTTATCAATGGCCACTGAGACATCGATCAGAGTTTGGACTCAGCCATGACATAGATACCAGCTAAAGCTAAGTCTCAAGCCTGTGGAGGCCGTAAAAAGAACAAGATTTCTCAGTTTGAACAACACTCAGAGAGTTCCCATGGCATTTACAGTAACCCAATTGACTCATTAAGCCCACTGAAATGCATTCTGATAATGCTGCCTTCTATTGTTTGAAAATCATAGTCGCCAGGGCTTGAATGCACCATGCCCTAGCTAGCCACAGCTCAGACAGACCTTGGACCTCACGCTCCTCTCAGTCCCACCACACCCTCCTCTAAATGGGTCTGGCACTTAACAGTGTATGGTAATCCATGACTTTCATCTGGGCTTTATTGGTTGGGCAAACTTCCTTTAAAATTTTGCATGTGTCTATCTGTCTGTTGCAAATCAAGAAAGTGGGGCTCCTGAATGACCACTAATGAAGGCTATTGGAACACAGCCAGTAACTCTGTGGTAAGACGATAGTGTACACTAATTAAGATTGACAGTTTTAATTGCTTTGCATAAATAAAGCTCTCCATACTGGATTGATGATCTCACCACCATAGTTGAGCATGCTTCACACAGGACTCTTTTAAAGGGCCATTTGTTTTAGGTGGATTTCCTCAAATCACTTTAAGAAATATTAACTTTAAAGTAGGCTGGTGACCTGGAACTTGCGAGCCAGGCACGTTTTGAAAGTTTGGTAGCAATATTTATGGGGCGACCCTTAAGTGGCAGAGGAATGTAGCAGGTTATTATCCCCATGGCAAAGACCATGTTCTCCTGCAAAGACAAAGATACCAGGGGCGATTGTGAGCAAGCAGCCATTTGCTTCTTCAAAGTATATAATTATTGTCTTTAGAAGCCCTGTGTTTTCTACTAGGTATGTGATCCTTTCCAGGAACAGAACACACCCACCCTCTCTGGTTTTCACCCATCAGAAAAAGAGAGCGTCCTTGGATTTCAAGTAGCATTTTCATACTCCATACCACTGGGGTCACCTCTACAAAATGAGTCGGAAGTAGCCTCAGTGCCCAAATTTTGCTGTTTAGTTGGTGGGTTGTTTTTTAACTGCTCCAACATTGTTATGTCATACATTTGTATATACCCCAGTGCAGGGGATGATAGATATAGCATTGGAAGAGGCCTCAGAAAGCATCCAGTCCAGCCCCTCGGAGGCTAGTAGAGTCACGGATTTAGAGCTAGAAGAGACCTTGGAGGCTGAGTCCAGCGCCCTCATTTTAAAGTTCAGAAACTTGAGGCTGAAGGAAGTTAAGGAACTTGCCCATGGTCACGCAGGTAGCAGGGGTCAGAGGGAAGCTTTGAAGCCAGCTCCTGTGACTGTAGATCCAACGTGCTTCCCACCCTCCTAGGCTGCCTTCTATCTTGGTATCCTTCCCATTCAGAAGTAAGTGCTCACATGTCCAGCACTTGGAGGCTGCCATTAGACCTTTCTCCTGGCAGCCTTGGGAGGAGTGTTATCATTTCCATTTTATAGATGAGGAAACCGAGGCACTGAGAGGCTAAAAGGAGGTGCAGGGTCAAACAGCTAGTAAGTGTCAGAGCTAGAAACTGAGGTCAGGTCTCTTGGTTCAGAGTCCAGGCCTTCCCCTACGCCAGGCATATGTAACCTGTTGACTTCTCAAGGCCCCTAGACAGCGGAAGTATTGTTTTGTGTTAAATAGTTGCCATTTGAGACAAGCTCCCCAGACAGTTCAGATCTGTGCATCTGCAATTAACTTTCCCCGAATGCCTTTATACCACAATGGTAAACGGAGAAATTATGAAACATTGTCTTCCAAAGTGCTGAAAGGGACCTTAGAATTTGGAACATAAAACCCTAGAATATCGTACCAGGGAAAAGACCTTAGAACATAGAACGTGAGAGCCAGGAGGGCCCAGAGAACAGAAAGCAGAACTTAGGCCAATGGTGTCCAACTTAAATAAAAAATGGATTCCTGTGGGTTGCATCTTGGCTGAGAAAACTACAAATTCATGTTTTCTATATTATATTTTCATTTATTTTGTTAAACATTTTCCAATGACATTTTAATCTGGTTCAGGCAGCATTGGGGAGTTTTCCCCTTCAAACCATGAGTTTGACATCCCTGCCTTAGAACATGAACTATAGAATGTTAGAACTGGGAGGGCCCTTAGAACAGAGAATGGCAGAGCTGTGATAGACCTTTGAATAGAAAATGGCAGATGTAGGAAAGACCTTAAAACAGAAAGTGGCAGACGTAGGAGAGACCTTAGAACAGAGAATGGCAGAGCTGTGAGAGAGCTTAGAACAGAGAATGGCAGAGGTAGGAGAGAGCTTAGAACAGAGAATGGCAGAGCTGTGAGAGAGCTTAGAACAGAGAATGGCAGAGGTAGGAGAGAGCTTAGAACAAAGAATCTCAGAGCTGGGAGGGACCAAAGAATAAAGAATGACAAAGTTGGGGAAGAACTTTAAAAAAGAGAGTATCTGAGCTGGGAGGGACTTTAGAAATGATCTCAACTTTTCATTTGACAGAGGAAGAAACTGAGGACTTGAGAAGGGAAGGGACTTAAGCAAGCTTCTACAGTCAGGGGCAGAGCTAGGCTGAGAATGGTGTCTCCACAGGCCCCACAGGCCAGCCCTGCTTCCCTCCTTCCTTCCCCTGTTCTGGGTTGCCTTGCACCCAGATGTGGCCCCCACTTAGGTTTGCTTTGTCTGTCTCCTCCAGTTGACGCCCAATGTTTGTGTTCTGGTTTTCCAATCTTTAATGAGCCTGTGCCTTGGCCCGGCCTGTTAACAAACATAAGCCCTGAGAGCATTTCAAATGCTATTGACCATGTATGTGTTCACCTAAATTAACGGGCCAGGAAACAAGCACTGGGCCATCACAAGGAGAGCTGTGTGCATCATTCCATGTCGGCCAGACTGAGCTATTGACAGTGTCCCGAGGGCCTGGAGAATCTGGGCAAATGTTAAGTTTGACACTTTTAACTCCCTTGACTGAACACAGTGAATGAGTTTGCTCTATATCAAACTGCAGAGAGAGACAAATATCAAAAGGGTAACCCTTACCCAAACACTGAGCCTGCTTCTATACATACCACCCAATCACAGGGTGCGAAAGAAGAGTTGGAATTCGAATGCTCTGAGCCTCAGTTTCCCCTTCTGTTAAGTGAAAACATTGGATTCCCTAAGGCCCCTTCCAGCTTTGACAGCCTATGTGATCCCATGAGCCCCTTCTTCTTTCTCAGTCTCAGTTTCCCCTTCTGGCAAATGAAGCTAGATCACATGACCTCTAATGTTACTTCCAGCTCCATTAGACTGTGAGCTTCTTGAGGGCAGGAGCAGTTTTTGCCTTTCTTTGTATCCCCAGCCCTTATCACAGTGCCTGACACATAGTAGGTGCTTAATAAATGCTTGTCGACTCTGACAGCCTGTGATCCCATGAGCCTCCCCTCCTTTCCCTTTCTAGGCCTCGCTTGGCTGTTCCAGTTCTGACATTCAATGCACTCACTCCATAACTGGGTCCTGTTTGAAATCACCTGATTTTTTTTTTTCCAGACCGGTTTGTGAGCATGGGCTTAGATACAGCCTAATGCTAGTAAAAACTGAGCACTTGAAAAAATCATTCCACCCTTCACCTTCCAAATATGAAGCACTTCCATCACTATTTCTTAGCAACAGGGGCGACCGAGTGCCTTCTCAAGGCCCCAGCCGTTCCTCCTCTCTCCCCACCTCACACGGCCTTCACAATGTTGTGATTGGCCTCACCAGCCCTTGGTATCTTCCCAACCCTGCCAGAAGCACACAGCTTTGTCTTCTTCCCCGGAAGGGATGTCTTTGAAGGAGTTTGACAAGCAGACAGACTGTCACAGACAGACAGAGCTGCCGCAGCCCTTAACAGTGGGAGCAGTCTGGAAGGAAGCCAGCCTGTTGTTCCCCACTGCATGGGAAGTGCTCCCCCTGCTGGTTGTATGCAGAACTGCTTCAGGGTTAGCCGAGAGCTGGCTAGCTCAGGATCAAACGGTCGGTCCAGCCATG